AATCTTTATTTTTTAAGTTCCCCTAAGGAACGAACTCGTAATTATATATCATAACAATTAAGGCTGGTAAGTTACTGTAGTAACTGGAGCACATAGGTTAAAATGAAATGTAATTTATTTTGAATTTGTAACAAATAAAGAGTAAGGGGCCTCCCTTAGCTCAGTCGATAAAGGCGCATCTACAAAGCAAGACCATGCTGTAGGTGGCTGGGTTCGATTCCCGGTCCGGGCTAGGAATTTTTCGGGTTCGAAAATTTCTCGACTTTCCTGGGCATAGAAGTATGATTGGACTTGCCACACAATTATACCAATGCAAAAATGGTACAGGCATCGAAAGCTCACAATTAATAACTGTGGAAGTGCATCTAGAACACTAAGTTGAGAGCACGCAATAAGCTAATATGCGATATGCAATAAGCTTTAAATGCGAAGAAGAAGAAGAAGAAGAAAGAGTAAAAAACAAAACAAAAAGCAAACAGATACAACTACATCAGCATGAAACAGTCCAAGGGCAAATTCTGATTAGTCAGCTGTATAATGGCCGTTTGATCGAGACAAATGGTCAAGAGAAAGGGGTGTACCTTAAAATTAGCAACCTGCAATTCTAAACTTGCATGTGAATGTGCTATGTCACTTTAATTTGTCAGTCGAAACAAAATGAACCTATAAGGCCACTACGGAATACAAGGGAATGGACGACACGTTAACAAGACTTGGATCATCTCAATATTTAATAGGACCAGAACCATACCAAATAAGAATGCTAAGATGAAACAGTTGGAAGAAAAAACATCCTCTGGATCACCAAAACAGTACAGATCGACTGGAGGGACCACTCACACCTAAGGAAATTAACTACGCTTGCTTGGAGCTGGCACGAGCAGCTCAACACGATTGTTTCAAGAAGGAAATTGGTTGTCTGACCAAATACACACCACTTTCAGGCAATAGCAAGCTCAAGTCTTTGTTTCCTTTCATCGATGCTGATGGCACACAGGGCCAACTTTGATGATAGCAACACTAAACCAGAGATATTGAAGCAGTTTGAGACTTATCCACAAGCGTGAAATCTGATCTGACCACGGATCAAACTTTGTAGGTGCAAATCGAAACATCCGGCAACACCTGCAATTTAACCAAGCTGTGAGTCAGTACCTACTGAACTTGAAGGTGAAATGGACGTTCATCACTCCATGACTCCATCCGCCCTCCATATAGAGGAATTTGCGTGGTTGCGGTGAAGATTATGAAGAAGCATCTCCGAGTGGTGCTAGAGAACACAAGTCGGACATACGAGGCATGTTTGAATTCGCGTCCTTTGTGCCAGTTTTCGACATCGACTGACTCCTCCGAGGCCCTCACGCCAGCACACTTCATCATCAATCAGCCACTCAACTTGCTGTCATAACCAGATGTCTTGCCACACTTCAACCTCGGAACAGGTGACAAGCAGTACAGCATAATATGGATGCGGGACAACTGGTACTAATCAAGAACGATAACTCGCCACCTGCGGCATGGGAGCTTGCAAGGATTGTCGCTGCCCATCCATATCAATATGGGGTTGTTCGCACCGTCACTGTACGCAAGGTTGCAAACACTCATTTCAGCTAAAACAATGTTTTTTTTTTAATTATGAAATAATTAGATGCCATGATCATATTTTGAATTGGTAGGATACAAGAAGAGGTTGCAACGAATGTGTTTGACATATTGAACTTGTTTATTTCACTTCATGAGAGTCACGATCAGCGATTTTCAACACACTCACTCACTCACTCACTCATCGATCAGTAAATCGCTGATTGTGACTTATAGAAAGCAAAATTTACAGGTTTTATGTTTCAAACGCATACTTTGTAACCTCTTCTTGTAAGTTACAAGTAAAACATGCCATCATACCATCTTTTGGTTTTATTATTCCGAAAAACATTATTTTAGCTGAAATGAGTATTTGCAACCTTGACTGTACGTCATGGAGTGAAGGAGTGCCAAAGAGCGGTGCACAAGCTTGTTCCGCTCCCAATGGTTAAGGCATCCCAATTGATCGTCAGCTAAAATAGTTCATTTTCATTTTCAATTAAGTTCACCGTGTTTATTGCGTTCCGCCTGCTCTTTCCCGAAATCACGTACCTTAGATGAACTCCCGCTTATTGCTTATGGGTATAAAAGTCCACTCGACAGATGTTGCAGACTATTCAATAATGTGTGTGATCATTTTGACTTTAATATTAGAAGACTAGTTTCTAAGAATAGAATTCAGACTCGTTATTTTTTCTTCTTCTTTATATTTCAAACTTATTGCTTATCGCATATTAGCTAATTGTGTGCTCTTTACTTAGTGTTCAAGATACACTTCCACAGTTATTAATCGAGAGCTTTCGATGTCTGTACCTTTTTTGGTTTAGTATAATTGTGTGGGAAATACAATCATACTCTATGCCCATGGAAGTCGAGAATTGTTCCAATTTGAAAATATCCTAGACCGGACCGGGAATCGTTTGTGTGGCTCTAATGCCAAAGATGATGAGGGCTACAAATGGTGAATTGACAACCTGGGAAGAGCGTTTTTCCTATCTCTGGTCCTCACAAGTTCCTACCTCACACCTCCCCGTGGTGTAGCCTGGGCAATGTTGTCCTTCTGACAATATCAAAGTGAGGGGGTGCGACGCGAACACTGGCGCGGTAACCATAACACGGCGATCGAGGAAATGCTTCGTCAACCCGCAGGAGTGCCAACCGGCACATTAGGATCGACGCCAGTAAGATTCTTATTACGGTATACTAGATACGGCATGGAACTATGGACACGACACGGCACAATGGATTGGATACCACGCTACAGGGCTGACAGTCGTGCTATTCTGCTCCCTAAGTAAAGAAGGGTGACACCTTCTTGAAATGGCGAGTGGGCTAATAGTGCGGCTGCCCCCGTCCCGGTAAAACCTTGGCAGGCCTCCGGATACGTTCAAAACTCGTCACCAATTGGTGATTGGTGAGTAGTAGACTCAGATGTAACATTCCTGACTTACGCCGATCTGGCCCTGAACACGGCCCCCATGAAGGACCGTGTCAACCCTAGCATGGCCTCCCTGCTTGCATAGATAACCATGGGATCACGATAGGCGACTACATACAACGAGTGGAGATAGCGGCCCGGAGGGGGGACCCAACAGAATGGAGAAAAACGGAGAAAAAAACAAAAAAGAAAAAAATGAGAAAACCCAAAAAAATATGAAGGACGACGGCAGCAGTAAGCCCCAAGGTGAGCAGCAAGGACACCAAGGAGAGCTAGGTCTTATGCTAAGCCAGGTTTTCACACCGAAATCCAGCAGTAGCACACCCCAAGAAGGATTGCAGCTTGGGAAGACCAAATTGATGGAGGTCAGGAGGAGGATCAATGAACTCCATGACTTCATCAAGGATAAGAGCAACGTCCACAAGGCAATAAAGGAAATGGTGACGGGCATCAAATCCGCCATTATTGCTGCCGAACGTGAACAGGATGCGCTGAGGACGAGGTCCGTAACTTCCGAAAGGGCACTGATCGAGAAAGCAGAGTGCTGATTGAACCAGCGACCGAAACGGATGTGTTTTGTTTCTTCTGTGTTTTTTTTTGCTGCTGAAAACCTTTTCGCATGCGTTTTGTTCTCGAGTGACTGGAGGTGAACTGGTGATCGCATTTAAAAGTTTTGAATACCATGCGTGATTTTTTTTTTTTTTTTTTTTTGATCTCTTGTTGCTTATGCAATGGTGCTTGGTGTGGTATTGCGTTTTTCTTTGTTGCCCCGTACAACCTCTATCACGCTGATATATTTTTCTGTTGCTGCGATGAGCAACTTCTTTGTGTGGTGTTAAAGAAGACAGTCCGAAAATACATGACCTTGATTATGCGTGGAGTGCGTTCTTTTGTACGTACGAGGTAGAAGAGCGTTATCAGTGATTGCGGTGGTTCAAGGAAAATTAAATAAAGGATTTCTGAAAACATGACGCTGCAAAGTCTCTAGGCCAATCGGGTGAGATCTTTCCATTTTATCTATTTATATTTTATTTTTTGTCACTGATTTATCAAATGCTCTATATTGACGAATAGAGTTACCAAATCATTCACCCTCCCACTAACACAACTCTTTCCTTCCTGTGACACCTATGAAGGTAGTATGGGTTCCCTGCACCTTCTTAAGTAGATGTTGGATTAACTTTCCCTCCCTTCCCCTGCGATTGTAAGGATGTGGCCAGGTGTATAATGCGATGCTTCTATTGTAGATTTTATTTTCGTGTGGGGAAAATCACTAATCCCAAGTGATATTTTCTGCGTCAACACTCGATATTTTCTGCAAAACGTATTAGTTGACCATTATATAGCCACCCACGATTTGTACAATCGCATATGCTATGCTATGCTATGCTATGCTATGCTATGCTCTAATGCCAAAGATGATGATTAATAAACACATATAACCATTTCAATAGAACCTCAATGGTTGTTTGCTTTTTCAATTGAGCCTGTTGATGCTGATAATTAAGAATGTAGATAAATCAAGTAGATGACCATATTGCCAATCAACAACATTGTAAATTATTAATTTCAATGACTTGGGTAAGGTGTGGCCAGATGGATCATCTACATGATTTATTTATATGTTTGTTGGTCAACATCAACAGGATGAATGTAGACACAATGCTGGTTCAAACCATCATTGTTTTGCATGGAATTGACATTGACAAAGAAACAAATTAATAAATTTACTAGCTGATCCATCTTGCTCCGTTACCCATCTTTTCCCACATATTCCCAAAACTTAGAAATTATGAGAACCTTTAAGGTGATCTTGCCGATCTTGCCCTGTGAATTGTATAATTTTAATCATCAAATTTAATCAATAAAGTTAGGGAGAAGTACCAGACTCAGACAAAATTTGTTGAATAATATTTTTTATATCTACATATTACAACTTATTATGCGTGATATATTATAATACACATACAAGTTTACTTACCTGTAGGATGTATGATGACACTACGGGATAGGAAGTGTGTACAATTGGATGTATAGTGCTAGGGGCATGAAGAACAGTCATACCTTGCGCCTTATTGTTTATATGTAGTTTAAACACATGGTTTAAAACAATGTAATTTGTTGAATACAAAGCAACATAAATTATGAACCGAAAAAAAGAAAAAAAAGAAGAAAATACAAAATAACACGAGAAAATTAAAAATTAGGAATAGCAATAAAACTACTTCAAACTATAACCACCTTTTTTAAAACTGGAAAGAATTTGATTACAATAGAAAATAGAATGGAAACAGAAAGTAACGTTGCAAGTTCATTATTTACATACGAAATTCTTCACATGCTCAATAAACTCAATACTATTTTTACGGCGGATTTTTTTATCGCCTCTGTTTTTGAGCGTGTGATCTCAATTTTCATCCATATTTAATGTAACTTGTTTCGAAAAACCACAAAAAATCAAGGAATAATTAAGTGACATTAATCATCATTTAATTAACCATCATCAATTAACCATCATGAATGCAAAATCGAAAAAAAAAAAAATGCGCAAACACAGAATTGAATATACAAGATTCATGTGGTACTAAAATAAAATAAAAAAATGCAGTAAAAGACCGATTTTAAGAACAAACCAGTTTTGGCTTTTTTTCAATTTATCTACAAATTCGAATTGCAAGTCTGATAATCTGACCACGTTCAGAACTTAATAGCTATCCGGAAAGTTTAAAAAAATATCAAAAAGGTGGGTTCGAGATTATCATTTAAAATGTGTGGCCGGAATCGGACACATGCTGTATCTCCCTCATTTGTACAAACTTACCATAGGCTTATAACCCGTCTGATTAGTTGCTGGTTGTGGTTGAGGAGACCATCCTGCTGAGCCCGGTTTTGCAGTATTTTTAGGCGAATTCCATTGGACATTTCTAATGAAAGAGAACGAAAGGTTAAAGAATCGAAAATGTTTTGATCTTCACAATTAATAAAAAAATTAAAAAAACTGAAGCATGCAAAAACGTTAGTACTAACGCGAAGACGTACGATCCAGTGAACAAATCGAAGTACATATTAGCCATAGTAACAAAACTTATTCGATCACATTTTTGATTCTTCAGCATTGATTAAACTCCACTGCATATGCACGATTTTCATGTGAAGTAACGTTTAGTTAGATAATGTTCTGCTTTTACCAAATTATTATTCAACTACGGACCAATTAACCCCAGTGATTGTTTTGTTGTTGTTGTTGTTGTTGTTGTTGTTGTTATTGTTGTTGTTGATACTAACGAAGAGCACGCACATTAGGGTGCGAATGAATGTTATTTTTTTTTAAACAGACATATTCAAAATGTTTATGACTTGAAAAAAGACCCTACGCGGTAAGAAAAAACAGTACCCAACGGCCAGTTAACTTTTGACTAGTTTGTCTCCTTTTCTCCTTCTAATGTTGTCAAAAACGGAGGAGCAAAACCACCCAACAGAGGTAGTAAAGTGCGGGAACCCAACATTGAGTATAATCATATTTACCTACTTTTGGGTACAACTAACTTACTTTTAGGTCCCTACGATTTGGTCAGAGAGCGTATAGGGCGTCGTTTTGCCAATTTGGCCGTGGTACATTTCGAGTATGAGAGAGTGATTGCAGTTAGATCAAAAGTGCCTGAGAAAAAAACAAGTGCGGATTACCCGGAGTTGCGATAGTGAAGGAATGATCACAGACAAGCAGGCATAACATGCTTAAGATGGTCATCGAAATCGGTTTTAAAAGTCAATTTAAATGTTTCTTAGTTGATAGTACCGCCACTTGTGGCGCAAATAACCAATTCCTTGACCATAAATGCGTTCTTTCATAATAACACTGCCGGCCAGTGGGGGTTTGTAAGGATCACACACACACACACGCACACAGACACACACACACACACACACACGCACACACACACACACACACACACAAACACACACACACACAAACACAAACACACACACACACTCACACACACACACACACACACACACACACACACACACACACACACACACACACACACACACACACACACACACACACACACACACACACACACACACACACACACACACACACACACACACACACACACACACACACACACACACACACACACACACACACACACACACACACACACACACACACACACACACACACACACACACACACACACACACACACACACACACACACACACACACACACACACACACACACACACACACACACACACACACACACACACACACACACACACACACACACACACACACACACACACACACACACACACACACACACACACACACACACACACACACACACACACACACACACACACACACACACACACACACACACACACACACACACACACACACACACACACACACACACACACACACACACACACACACACACACACACACACACACACACACACACACACACACACACACAGGCTACAAATGGTGAATTGACAACCTGGGAAGAGCGTTTTTCCTATCTCTGGTCCTCACAAGTTCCTACCTCACACCTCCCCGTGGTGTAGCCTGGGCAATGTTGTCCTTCTGACAATAGCAAAGTGAGGGGGTGCGACGCGAACACTGGCGCGGTAACCATAACACGGCGATCGAGGAAATGCTTCGTCAACCCGCAGGAGTGCCAACCGGCACATTAGGATCGACGCCAGTAAGATCCTTATTATGGCATACTGGACACGGCATGGAACTATGGACACGACACGGTACAATGGATTGGATACCACGCTACAGGGCTGACAGTCGTGCTATTCTGCTCCCTAAGTAAAGAAGGGTGACACCTTCTTGAAATGGCGAGTGGGCTAATAGTGCGGCTGCCCCCGTCCCGGTAAAACCTTGGCAGGCCTCCGGATACGTTCAAAACTCGTCACCAATTGGTGATTGGTGATTAGTAGACTCAGATGTAACATTCCTGACTTACGCCGATCTGGCTCTGAACACGGCCCCCATGAAGGACCGTGTCAACCCTAGCATGGCCTCCCTGCTTGCATAGATAACCATGGGATCACGATAGGCGACTACATACAACGAGTGGAGATAGCGGCCCGGAGGGGGGACCCAACAGAATGGAGAAAAACGGAGAAAAAAACAAAAAAGAAGAAAATGAGAAAACCCAAAAAAATATGAAGGACGACGGCAAGACGCCAGAAATGGAAAACGGAGGAGCGAACGTGTTCGCAAGGAGCGGGATATTGCAGAGATCACCAGTGTTGAACCTGGAGGCAACAGCGAGTTCCAACAGCAGCAGTAAGCCCCAAGGTGAGCAGCAAGGACACCAAGGAGAGCTAGGTCTTATGCTAAGCCAGGTGTTCACACCGAAATCCAGCAGTAGCACACCCCAAGAAGGATTGCAGCTTGGGAAGACCAAATTGATGGAGGTCAGGAGGAGGATCAATGAACTCCATGACTTCATCAAGGATAAGAGCAACGTCCACAAGGCAATAAAGGAAATGGTGACGGGCATCAAATCCGCCATTATTGCTGCCGAACGTGAACAGGATGCGCTGAGGACGAGGTCCGTAACTGCCGAAAGGGCACTGATCGAGGCCAAGGAGAAAGCAGCAGCTGAAATACAGGAGACGCCAAAGGGACCTCGAAATCCACGCTCGGAGAAGAGGAAAAGGGAAACTCCAGGAGAGGAAGAGGAGTTGAAAAAAGTCAAGAACGACAAAGAAGACAACAAGGAGGAAGGCTGGCGTACCGTCGAGAAGCCAAAGGAGAAGTGGAAAAAACGGAAGGAAAAAGACATGAAGAAGAAAGCTGAACAGAAGAAGGTGATACCCAGGACTCGTCGGGAGCGAAGTAAGGGCGATGCTCTGATCGTCGAAGCTAAGGACAAAACGTCGTATGCAGCACTCCTCCGGAAGGTACGAGAGGATCCGGAGTTGAAGCAACTAGGAGAGAACGTGGTGAAAACCAGGCGAACCCAGAAAGGCGAGATCCTCTTTGAGCTGAAGAAGAATCCTGCTATCAAGAGCTCAGCCTTCAAGGAGCTCGTCGAAAAGTCTCTTGGCGAAGGGGCGAGCGTAAGAGCTCTATCCCAGGAGACAGTGGTCGAGTGCAGGGACCTGGACGAGATCACCACAGAAGAGGAGCTAAGAAGTGCGTTGAGAGTGCACTGCGATCTGGGAGATGTCCCGATGTCAATCCGCATGAGGAAGGCGTACGGCGGCATGCAAACGGCGGTTATACGGCTTTCGACAGCTGCAGCGAATAAGCTGTTGGAGACGGGCAAGGTCAAGGTTGGCTGGTCATTGTGCTCGCTGAAAGCCACTCCTCGGGTTACCAAGCAATTGGAGCGATGCTTCAAGTGCATGGGATTCGGTCACCAGGCGAGGAACTGCAATGGCCCTGACAGATCTGATCTGTGCAGGAAATGCGGAGAGAAAGGCCATATTGCAAGAGGCTGCACGAAGCATCCGAGGTGTATGCTCTGCAAAAAAGAGGACGGTGACGATCATACGACGGGAGGCTTCAAATGCCTAGCATACAAAAAGGCGATGGCAGGCCAACAGTAATGGAGGTAACCCAAATAAACCTCAATCATTGCGACATTGCTCAGCAACTGTTGTGGCAGTCGACAACAGAAACAAAGTGCGACGTTGCAATCATTGCGGAACCGTATCGAGTCCCTCCCGATAACGGTAACTGGGTTGCGGATAGAGCTGGGATGGCAGCTATACAAGTTATGGGCAGATACCCCATTCAAGAAGTGGTTGCGAGCTCATACGAAGGCTTCGTCATCGCCAAAATCAACGGAATCTTCATGTGTAGTTGTTACGCACCCCCCAGATGGACGATTGAGAAGTTCTACAAGATGCTTGATGGACTTACCGAAGAGCTGGTCGGACGACGACCGGTAGTCATCGGAGGAGACTTCAATGCTTGGGCAGTGGAGTGGGGAAGCAGGTGTTCCAATGCAAGAGGGCACAGTCTGCTGGAAGCTCTGGCAAAACTGGAAGTTATGCTGGCCAATAAAGGCACCAGCAGCACTTTTCGCAGAGATGGCCGAGAATCCATTATCGACGTTACTTTCTGCAGTCCGTCGCTGATGGCAAACATGGATTGGAGAGTGTGCGAAGGATATACCCATAGCGACCATCAGGCGATACGATATGGCATCGGTCAACGGAATACTGTGGCAGTACGGAGGACGAGAACTTGTGACCGAAAGTGGAAGACGAAAGCTTTCGACAAGGATTTGTTCGTTGAGGCACTTCGTGTGGACGGGAGTCCCGTAGATCTAAATGCGGACGAGCTGACAGAAACGTTAGTGAGAGCATGTGACACGACCATGCCGAGGAAACTGGAGCCAAATAACAGACGGCGTCCAGTCTACTGGTGGAACGAGGCACTTAGTACTCTCCGCGCTAGTTGTCTCAGAGCCAGAAGACGTGTTCAGAGAGCAAGAACGGAAGCAGACAGAGAGGAACGAAGAGAAGTGTTTCGAGCGGCTAGGGCCGCTTTTAAACGAGTGATTAAGCAGAGCAAGTCGAACTGTTTTAAGGAGCTGTGTCAAGACGCTGATGCCAACCCCTGGGGCGACGCATACCGAGTCGTGATGGCGAAGATCAGAGGTCCAACGATGCCCGCTGAAATGTGCCCAGAGAAGCTGAAAGTCATCGTGGAAGGACTTTTCCCGAAGCACGACCCAACAACCTGGCCACCTACACCGTACGGAGAAAGAGAGGGAGATAACGTCGAAATCACCAACGAGGAGCTCGTAGTAGTGGCGAAAGGATTGAAGGTGAAGAAAGCTCCCGGTCCGGATGGAATCCCCAACGTAGCGTTGAAAGCGGCGATCCAGTCATCCCCGGACATGTTCAGGATGGTGCTGCAGAAATGCCTGAAC